CAACCATCAGCTGCTTACCACGCTGTCACACAACTCCGAGCCCTTGCTCCTGCACCTCCTCGCCGATCCCTCTACAACTTTCTCCTCTGCACACAACCATCAGTTGCGCACCGGCCGGCTTTTCACCGTGCTCACCGACCGCAATTCCCCGAGGCTTCATGCACGCGCTCGCCCCTCCGACGGAAAGACGGATCGCGACTTCACACCTGCGAGCCTGTCTACGAGCAAAAAAATCTGCGAGGGGGAGACAGAGGGAGAAACAAAGCGAGAGGGTGGCAGCCGGACACGACAAGAACGAGAACGCCTGACATAGAGAGGCAGCACATCTGTGAGCAGCAGTAACTGCAAGAGAGTGACAGCGGCCGAGGCAAGACGACAGAGTCACAGCAAAAGTTGTCCGATGCGGCGTCGGCGGCATGTCATTTCCTCCTGATCTTTCGCTCTCTGTTCCCTGACGGCTCTCCATTCCCACACTCAAGCCTACAATGGACACCCTTGTGTCGTCAGATGCCGTGCTGCGATCGCTACGCAAGACCTCCGGCAGTTCTCTATGTTCTCCATCGAAGAAAAACAGAGAGCGAAAGAGAAAAAGACGCAGCAAGGAATAAGGAGAAAGAAAGAGAATGAAAGAGAGGGCCGGAAAGACAAAGGGGGGCAGAGAGAAAGCCCGCGAGAAAGAAAGAGAGAGAAAGAGACAGACACGGAAAGAGAAATATAGACTCCTTTTTTCCTGCGGCCCAGTTACTCTCTGAGATGTTCCTTCGGCGATACAGACACAATGCGATGTGGTTTTCACCTAGCATAAGACACAAAGAGACTCCTGTTCTCTCAAAATGTCCCTTAGGCAATACACACACAATGGAGGCTGCTTCTCGATATATTTTTGTGAACACGGTGGCGTGCCGTTTTTGACTGCCATATTTGTGTTGTGCCCATCCCAATATAAACTCTTTTTTTCCTGCAGCCCGGTTACTCTCTAAGATGTTCCTTCGGCGATGCAGACACAATGGAATGTAATTTTCGACTGGCATAGGATACAAAGAGACTCCTGTTCTATCAAAATGTCCCTTGAGACATACACACACACTGGACTGCCATTTCAGGGTGGCGCCTGCGATACTTCTCAATATATTTTTTGTGGACACGGTGGCCTGCCGTTTTTGACTGCCGTTTTTGCGTTGTGCCCGTCCCGGCTCTCTGTGCCGTCTCCTTTTCTCCTGATGGACGATTCCTCTCCAAATGCCCCCATCGCTTGACGGATGTGTCAAAGTCTCCCTTGCAACATACGCACACAATGGATTGCCATTTTCTACTGCCACGTTTGTGTTGTCCGCCTGCTGGCTCGAATGCTTCTCGGGATTTTTTGTCGCTGCCTTCGCCCGCAGCGTAGCTGCGGCGGGTCCACTTGTATATATAAAGGAAAAACCGTTTCAACCGTGAAATAAATTGCAGTGGCAATTTGACGAGTTTTCCATTTTTGCCACTCTGCCGGTTCTCCCCTTTGTGCGACCGGTAGCCCTCATAAACCTGTGCTACCGGTCCTCCCAAATTTAGGGCGCCGGGGTAGTGGTGGTGTAGACCATGGCTACGCCGGACCCGGACCCGGACATTTCCGGACATGGAACCGGACCCGTGTCCGGTAGTTTCCGGACGCCCAGAATTCCGGACATTTCCGGACCTCCGGACATGGGGGGGATCCGGACGGTCCGGATGGCTGGACAGGTCCGGAAATGTCCAGACCATTAAAAAAAAAAAAGACAAAATCTGAAAAAAAAGTATGCTATTCAGAATAACAATGCAAACCACTTTTGCCTCAGAGTCATGTCAGAATTCCTAACCAAACTTGAGTTACAAGTCAAAAACTATAAAAAAGCTTTAAAAAAGACTTCCAAATGCAATGACTTGCTGATTTCTACTGCCGAGACTGACTGCGAGGCTGTATAGTACATCCGTAGGTTAGATTCACAATTTTGTTTGGCTGAGGGCTAACCAAGAGACCTACCTGTAAGGGAATTCGTGAGGGACATATCTGCAAATCTGGAAAATATAGGCCCACCAGTAACTCAAATTCCTACAGCTATACCTTAACTGCGTATAGCAGGCCCGGGCTACCCCTAGGACAGACAGGCCCTAAGTGGCCTATGCTGATAGACGGTCCTATAGCCTATAGCCGGGTCCGGTAGAGGCCGAGAGGCCGAAACAGAAACGGTACCGGTMRGTCAGTCAGKCCGGTCTAGGTCTAGTGTAGTCTATAGATAGGTTAGGCCCATCGGTTCAGGACTTTTGGCAGTTCATTTCTCGCGAAGCAGGGTTGGAGAAGCCAAGCAAGTTGGTGGCGGTGACGGTCTGCAGGGGGCATCCTGAGACCTCGCTGTGGACAGCAGCCATAGCCGGCCCAGTCTGAGTCTACCATAGCTGGGGCATCCTCAGCGCATCTACCCCTGGGGTATCTTCGTCTGTCCGGGCTACATCGAGGCTCTACACTGTGTACTCGTGGGTGGTGGCAGCCATAGCTGCCTGTTCCTTCGTCAGAGTTGTCCATCGGCCCCGAAGACTCCATCGCAGGACCTGTTCTTCATCAGGGTGGTTGCCGCTGGCCTCTGGGAGGCCATTCTGATGTGGCGCTACTAACTGGGTGTAGGATAGAGAGTGGGGTGTGAGTTCTGAGWGTGGCGAGATACTGGAACAAACTCTGTTACGATAATTGTTTGAGTTGGCTCATCATCAGTGCAATTTCAATTGTTATCCTCGCAGGTTCTACTTGTGATTGGTTGTTGGGAGTTTGTCAGAGAGAGAGAAACACTGTGTGTCTTCTCCCCATCTGTGCATAGCTGTTTTCAGCTGCCTACTTTGATCTGTGTGCAGTGTGGACTCTGTCTCCTCTCCCCCTTCTCTTATGCATGTATGGGCGTGTATGAGATTGTCTGTGTGTGAGTGGCGGTAAAAATCGTCAGACAACCAAGATCACAACATAAAAACTAATAACAGGTAATGATTCTAATGAATTATTAATAATTTAAAAATTGGGGTTGTCTAATAAATTATTATAGAGAGAGAGCATGTCCGGACCCCCCAAAAAAAGCATAAACGGGCCTGGAAAACCCCCAAAACAATTTTGGGGGCTTGGCTCCTCAATGGGGAAGGGTCCTGGACCCTTTTTTTTTTTTCCCCTCGAATTTTGGCAGATCCGGACCTTCCGGACCGGACGTCTGGAGTCCGGACTGAATCCAGACCGTCTGGACGGCGGTCCGGACGTCCGGATCGTAGCCATGGTTTAAACCACCAGTACCCTGCCCACACAAAATTTCCTGACTTCCTCAAATCATGGAAGACGTAGGCAGGCCTGGTAAAGGCTTGGTACAGGCTCGGGGCACGTGCGGATGGTCATTCGTTTCGAAAACGACCGACCACGCTGGATCATGTGGTGAGTGGTTGAGCGAGGCCCCTCGTACTACGAACACAGGAGCCCCTGCTCCACTAGTCTCGACAAAATGAGAATGAATCTTGTATCAGATCATGGGTCGATACAGGAAGGATTGGCATAGTCTTGCATGTGGTTTTTGTCCTTTTGTGCATGTGGCGAGTGGCGGAGCAAGGCCCCTCGTTTAGCAAACTGAGCGAGTCTTCCATTATAACATGGGATCATGCAGAGAAGATTGGCCCAGCCCTGTGCAAGGATGACACGTCCCATTTGCGGGCCTACTCCCTCACACGAGGACTTTTTTTTTTTTAAGCTTTGGATGTGATTGTGGTCAGATTCATCCAGGTCTGGCTGATTCAATCAGGAATTCGTAGTCTGAATACGCCCTCAACCACAGTGCCTCAGGAGCTGACGAGGTTCCCCGCCTTCGACGGCTATTCTGACAATGGAGACCGCACATAGGGGGGGAAATGTAACTGAACGGAGAAAAGGACGTCAGACGGAGGGCGGGGGAAAACGAAAAGAGAAAGGGCAAAAAAAAAAAGAAACAACCAACATAGCAGTACCGGTCGTCAGCAATGAAGGACCGGTCATCCGCTATGTCCCGACCTCTCAAAGTTCAAAGAGATTTGGTAGCTTCCCAAAAGTTTTTTGGTCTGGGAAGGCTGCTTCGGGGGTACTGGTGGTTTAAGGTTCTGTGTTGATCGACAGCAAACTTTAACGATTGCTGATCCAGGCTACCAGCCAGGCCGCCCGGGTCACCTTGTTTGCCCGAACAGCCCGGCCGTGCAAGGACCAAGAAGGCCCCAGCCAAAAACAAAAAAAACAAAAAAAAAAGAAGAAGAAGAAGAAAGAAATAATAAATAAATAAACTAGGCTACCAACCGGGCCGCCCGGGTCACCCTATTTTCCCGGGCGGCCCGGTCGTGCAAGGACCAGTGGAGGTCCCAGCCAAAAAAAAAAAAAAAAAAAAAAAAAAAAAAAAATCCAAAAATCTGAAAAAGAAAACTATGTTATGCAGAAAAATAAACTGAACAACTTTTGCCTTAGGGTCAAATCAAAATTCTTTACCAAATTTAAAATAAAAATGTTAATTTGAAAACATTTTTTATTTTTTATATTTTTATTTCTTTTTGGTCCGGCCGGGCAAGTGGACCCGGGCCACTTTTATTTTTTTATTTCTTTTTATTTCAAGAAGAAGAAAAAGAGGAAGTTATGCAGAAAAATAAACTGAACAACGTTTGCCTCAGGGTCGCATCGAAATTCTCTACCAAATTTGAATTTTAAACTAAAAATGTGTACACAGCTCCTCGTTTGTTGTCCTCTTCTCCCTCTCTGCCTACGGCTTACCGGGCAGCTCTGTTTGACGATATATATACTTTTTTTTTGTCGTTAAAAAAAAAAACAAATTGGCCCGGCCAGGCAAGTGGGCCCGGGCCACTCTGGTAGCCTAGCTGCTCACTTACTGTTATGCTTTTTTTGAAGAAAAAAAAAATCTTTTTTTTTTTTTTTTTGACTTACTGTTATGCTACTTACCATTGGTTGCATTTCCTTTTTTCTTGTTTCATGTTTTTTACAGGTTCAGCAGATTGAAGCCTGTGTGGCGCAAAAGGAGCGGCTGCAGGACTGAGTGTCGAGCCCTTGTAATTTCAATTTTGTCGTGTGACTCTTGTCTTGTTTTGTTTTCTTTTCTTTTCTTTTTGGAAAACACTTCTGTCAGTCAGAAATCGAGATCACTTTTGCCGACTACAAAATTGATTGCAGAGAGTCGTACTTTTTTGTTTTCGTGACGACGGATCCGTTTTGACGAGTACAAAATTACAAATAGCGCAAATTGAAATTGAAGCTTGTGCTAAATGGGTTCAAAGTTCAAACTTGGAAGTGCTGTCTTTGTTTTGGTCATCTCTTCTCTCTGTAACACTGGACCGAGGTCGCGATCATTTTTTTTTCATTTTTTCATTTTTTCATTTTTTTCTTTTTCCTAGTTTTTTTGTAAACAGGTTTAGATTGTGTCAGGTTCTTTTTTTCTCTGTAACACTGCACCGAGGTCTCGGTCATTTTTTCATTTTTTCATTTTTTTTCTTTTTCCTAGTTTTTTGTAAACAGGTTTAGATTGTGTCAGGTTCTTTTTTTTATGTTTTTTTTTTTGTTTTTCCCCTGCCCTGTGTTAGTAACATTTTGTTTTCCAACTATTTTTCCAAGTTTTTTTTTTTTGAAGTTTCTTCGTTCTCTCGCTTTCTCAAGCTTGTCCTCAATCCGGTGTTATGTGTGTGCCATCGTGTCATCTTTTTTTTTTTGCGGAAACACGGGCGGGACCACAGTACAGGTGTTAGATTGTGTCAGGTGTTTTTTTTTTTTAGGTTTTTCCTGTCCTGTGTTGATCTCATCTGTGTTGTTCATCTTTTCGGTCTTTTTTTTTTCTTCTTTTTGTTCCTCCTTCCCTGATTAAGCAACCAGATACAAAGGAAAAAGAAAATGCATTGCAACGCAACGCTCGTGGGCAGCGTCCCTCTTTGCACTGACCGGTTCTGTCGTGTCGTGCTGTCGATTGCGGAAATGAAAAGAAAAAAACTGAGATTAAAAATTAAAATACACATCCAATTTTGTTTTTGTTTTTTCCTACATGCAATTGAATCCTGACACCAGAAAATGAAAACTGAGATTAAAATTTAAAATAAGTTAAATAACACATCCAATTTTATTTTTGTTTTTTTCCCTACATGCAAATTAATCCTGAAAGGACCGGAAACCAGAACGAAGAATCCAGGCAAGCAGACCACCTCTCCACAGGTTTGATCCTTCTCCACAGGTTTTCTTTTCTCTTGTTTTTTTCTCTTTTTGTAAAGTTTTTCATTTCTTCTAAGTTCTTCTTCATGTATTTTTTGTCCAATCTTCTTATCCAATCCGGACCTCCTCATCACTTTCTTCCACTGGTTTTCTCTCTCACTTGTCTTCTTCCTTTCTTGCTTCCCCTGATTCATTCTACTAGCCTCTGTTCAGGATTAAACCTCTGGAAGATTGGATCAGGTTATTCATTCTCTCTGGGTTCTTCACAGGTTTGATCCTTCTCCACAGGTTTTCTTTTCAGGTTATTCATTCTCTCTGGGTTCTATGCGTGAATCCTCTCCGTCTGTTTCCAACTTCTCATGCGTGATACTGTTTTGCCGCACAGTACTTCAACTCTGGTTTTGCTGGCAATACTCCATTGTCCGAGCGCGCATTCTGTGTGTGTGTGTGTGTGTGCTGTCTCTTATACACATCTAGATGTGTATAAGAGACAGGCCTGGGCTTGAGTGGCGGTAAAAATCGTCAGACAACCAAGATCA